CCCGAGTTCAAGTGATTCTCCCGCCTCAGCCTCCTAAGTAGCTGAGACTGCAGGCGCATGCCACCACAGCTGGCTAATTTTTGTATTTTTAGTAAAGATGGTGTTTCACTATGCTGGCCAGGCTGGTCTCAAACTCCTGACCTCGTGATCCACCCCGCCTCGGCCTCCCAAAGGGCTGGGATTACAGGTGTGAGCCACCGCAACCGGCTGTGCAATTTATTTTTATTTTTTTTAAGGCTAGTCAAGTGAAGCAGTGGGCGTGTAGAAGGAACAAAGAAATCTGTAACTGGTTGTGATCAATTAGTTTTAAACACCACTGCACCCGGACCAGCAGCAATGTACAATTTGAAAGAACAATGCACTCCTTTCAGAAACAACTAAAATAGCCCACCTTTTTCAGAACATAAAGAGGTTATCAAGGGCTGGGGGGAAGGGGTTATTGCTTAATGTTTGGCATGGTGAACATGTTCTGGAAATGGGTAGTACGATGGTTGCATGACATTGTGAATGTATTTGATCCTATTGAATTATACCTTTAAATATGGTTAAAATGTTAAATTTTATGTTATGTATGTTTTACAATTTAAAAAAGTTAGGTTTTTTGAGGCATGAAATGATAGCTGCAAAAGATGTTCAATCTTAGCTCATTGCTGCTGCCCCAGGTGTGTGTGCATAGGAGGTTATGTAAGGGACGCTCAACTCACAACACATGATCTGACAAAGTACAAGTGTATATTCATGGGAACGAGGGAAAAGATAAAACTTTTGAAATGATAGTGAAAATCTGACATAAATATAGGCGATGCCTGGAACACTCTTCACTGGCCCTTTTGCCTGGTTGACTCCTGGGTTCCATAACACTTCTTTTGGAGGACCTTATAGGGCAGCATCTTTCAAACTTCACTGTGCATAAGAATCACCTGGGGACCTTGTTAAAACTGCAAATTCTCATTCAGTAGATCTGAAGTGAAGCTCTAGCGGCATTTCTAACAAGTTCCCAGGTGATGCTGACACTATAGACCCACAGACTATACTGGGGGGCTGTGTAAATTTAGTCTTCCTTTTCCTTTTTTTTTTTTTGGAGACAGAGTCTCACTCTGTCGCCCAGCTGGACTGCAGTGGCACGATCTCGGCTCACTGTAACCTCTGCCTCCTGGGTTCAAGCGATTCTCCTGCCTCAGCCTTGCGAGTAGTTGGGACTACAGGCGCCCGCCACCACGCCCGGCTAATTTTTGTATTTTTAGTAGAAATGGGGTTTCACCACGTTGGCCAGGCTGGTCTTGAACTCCCGATCTCAGGTGATCCTCCTGCCTCGGCATCCCAAAGTGCTGGGATTACAGGCGTGAGCCACTGCGCCCGGCTAAATTTAGTCTTTCTTAGTTCACCATTATATCCTTATGTCCAGCAAGGCGATTAGCACATAGGAGGTGCTTAATAAATATTTATTGAATGAATGAAGTATTTAAGATTGGTGTAGGAGGTTCACACACTTTGCGAAGTTGCCTCATGCTCTGTAGAATAAGGATAGTAGTACTAAATTATTTCTGACCTTACCACCTTGCTGTGTAAACTCTAATCTTTGAAATAGTGCCCGTAGACACGTGGATTGTGATGAACCCTGGTATTCAAGCCTGAAGAAGCCTTGCTGTGGTCTACAATCCTTGGAAACAAATTCTCTCCAGCCAAGGAGGGAGCGGAGTGCAAGGAAACTGCTGGTGTGGGAATTTCCAGATTTTGGTGCCTGAGTAATTGCTACCTTGGCCTCCTCCAAATCAAAGAAATTAACAGCTTGTTAAACAGAGTGTGTGTGGAGGTTCGTTAACCTAAAATCCACGCATTTAATAATATTGCCATTATTTACTATTATCGTTTACGATGATGATAACGACACTGGCAGTTGAGCGATGAAGTAGGTGGGGAAGTTGGGGGAGGGGAGAGAGGGTGTGAGACAGCCGGAGAAAGAGGAACTACAACTCCCAGAATGCACCGGGAAAGCCCACGCCGCAGCGGCGCCCCACCCATCTCGGCGTCCAGGCCCGCCCCCTCCGATGACGTCACCACTGTGACGTCACGGCGCCCAGAGCGAGGCTGGGGTAGGGAGGCCGACTGAGCAGGAGTCGTCCGCTTGTAGTGGAGGCTGCTAGGAGCCGGTCAGAGGGTGAGTGGGAAACAGGCGAGCGAGCCAGAGCAGGCAGGAGGGAGCGTCGCGCGGCGCAGAGGAGCGCCGGGGCCGGGCCGCGGCGGAACCACAGCCAGAGAGGGGCTGCCCGAGCCGGGCGCCGCGGGGTCCCCACCCCCACCCGGCCGGACAGTGCCCGGTGTTCCCCCGTGCGGGGGGCGGCGGCGGCGGCTGACGGGACCGCCGGGACCGCGGGGGTGTTGCCACCTCCACCGAGGAGCCGGCGCGGCCGCGGGCTCCTCAGAGCCGGGGCCCGGGGCCCGTGACAGACGGGCCGAGGAAGGGAGAGAGGCGGCGGCGGGGAGGCGGCGGCGACACCATGTCATCTCCCAGTCCGGGCAAGAGGCGGATGGACACAGACGTGGTCAAGCTGTATCCTTCGTGGAGGGGAATTCGGGATGTGTGTGGGGGGCGGTGTGGGGATGCCCAGGGCACCCCCGAAACCACTGCAAAGGCCCTGGGGCACTCCAGGCCACTGTCCGAGACTCCCCTCCTCCCCCAGTGCCTACGGCGGCTCCTTGGCACCTCCCAGGGGCCGAGAGCCTTTTCAGCTCGCCTTTTTCCCGCAGCACCCCGAAATACGCGTTGCTGCTCGCTCTTCCTGTATCCCCACAGCCCGTGACTTTCCTTCGCGACGTTTGGACTCCCTGACGGCCTTATTTCTTTTTGCAGGACCAGTCGCCTCACTCTCTACCACCGAGCCCATCTTCAGGGTTTCTCTCTCCTGTGTGCTCGCTCTGGATTGAGGGACTCAAGGCAGAAATTCCCGAGAGGGAAGCCTTTCTCCCTTCCTTGAGATGCCCCCATTTCCTCCAACCACAATGCTGCTTGAACTGGGGTCATTCAAGCGACCTCTTTTATCCCTAATTCCTTTCTATATTAGGAAGAGAGTCGCCTGCTCAGGGCCCCCTCTTCTAAGAAAGAGCTCTGTGTGTTTTCAGTCAGTCCCTCCTGTTAAGCTTTCTGGTCCCCGGGAGAACCCTACTGTTTTCCTTTCCACTGACAAAGCCCGTCCCACCCATAGTTGTATGTGATGAAGACCCTTGGGCCCTCCAGCAAGCCACCCTCCATGTTGTGGGTATGACAGCCGGGGAAAGAGGAGCTCCTGGACAAAATAGTCCCTGGACTGGCCACTTGGGCAAAACTTCCTCTGTGAGGGTCAGCTTCTTGGGGGAATACTTGCCCTGATGTCGCCAAGTGACACCCTTTATTTTCTGCCCCCTCCCCCCAACTTTGTGCACTCTGGAGGCTGCAGTGGGAAAGCCATAACTGATAAGAGCTCTTCAGGCAGTGGTTTTGGTTGAAGTCCAGACTGATTATTTAAGGACCAGCTAGAGAAATTCGCGAAGGTTCCTGTGACAAATGGAGAATTTGTTTTTTGAAGGGTAATTTAGAGGGTGGGGGTAGCCCAGAGTTCTGAACAGCTAGTCCTTGGGGAGGGGGGAAAGTGGGGGCTTAGGGGGTGGTAGTGTGGAACACGGTTTAAAAGTCCTGTCTCCTGTTTCTCTCCCTTCTCCCCATCCCCCCACCGTTTCCCCCTGTTGCAGGGTTTTGTTTATATAACTCAAGTTGTTTGGCTAAATTCTTCAGGTGAATTCCTTTTTTCTTCCTTTTACTTGTTGCTGTTTTTGATTGTTTTACTTCTTTGTAGAGGTCAGTGATTATTGTCAAAAAATTCAGTTAGGGAATTTGCTGAAGTTTTAAAAAAGTAGTTTTTGCATATGGTTTGGCAATGGGGGATGGGAGGGAAGTTGTCTGGGCAAGATATTTTTAAAAAAATAATCTTTTCAGAAATAAGGTGTTTTTCTCCTTGCTCAGGGAAAACTTGGCTAGAAATTAGGAGCAGTAGATAGACTTCTAAGTTTGTGGTTTGGAGTTTAGAATTTTTTGGGGGTGGGAGATTAGAGCGGAGCAACTAATAAAGTATAGCGTACCTAATATATGTTCAGGCACAAGTGAAATCAACTCTTTATGAGCTGTTTGTGGCTGTGATTGTTTTGTAAATGTGTGAATGATACCAGTAATGTTGGCTTTTCATAAGGCTGCAGGAAAACTTGTAACTGACTGTGTGTACATTTTAGACAAAGCAGTTTCAGGTTTTATTTTTGTTTAGAAACTAGGAAATGACATGGTGGCAGAATCTGATTTATTTTTATCTTGAATTGAGAGTTACTGTCACACCTAATGCGAATTTCTACCTAATGTTTAATTGGGATGGAGTGGGGAGATAGAATTCCAGCTGTTTGTGATCATTGTCAGAGTCTCAAATTATGTACATAGACATATTTTTAAAAGATTGAGGATAAAGAGGGGGGCCTAACTTGACCTGATGCCTTTTCCATACAGTGCCTTTTGTTCATTTAGTAGTTGTGGCATCTAGAATGATTACCGCATTTAGGAGTCGGGGTGTGGGGGGTGGAGAGGGAGAGGAAAACAGACAAAGAACAGCAGGGTGTCTTTTTTTTTCTCCCCCTAAGTGGCTTATTTCATAGCTTATTTTTAGTAGAAGATGAAGAAAGGCAAAGATGCATTGGCCTTCTGTTCTTTCCCCACCTTCCTTCCTTTCTGACAAAAGAAAGCAGAGGCGCTTTAAAATTGTAGATCTGAGATAGGAGGATAACAGTTTTAAGATTTAAAAGCCAGAGGTTATCTTTGTTTCGTGTTTATTTTCTGGTATAACGGAGTTTGGAAGTTAAAATGTTTCGGATTTCCTTTTGTGTGTGTTGTGTAGGTGAGAGATTTTGTGTCCTCCTTTCTCTGTTGAATTCACAGATCAGTAGGCCCAAATGGAGCCAACAATTTTTGAGTAAGGTATATTTAGCAGAAAATTTAAGGAAAAATTCCCCAACCCTCTCTACTAAAATGAGTACAATTGTGTGAAAAGGCTGGGGGTTGAGAAAGATGGTGGAGAGGAAGTAGGAAGAAAAGGTCTGAAGGAATGCACTTCTTGCCCCCCAGTGTCCCTTGATGATTTCTTTGGTGTGGGGAGTGATAGCTGGTTTCCTTGCAGTCTCCTGTTTCAGCCCATTTTTGGATGTCTCCTAGCGTAATTATACCACCACAATTTACAGCCTAGCAGGGAACCTATATAGTAGAAAAGTAGCAGTGTGGGGGTAGGGAGAGAAGAGGATGTGTAACTAATTGGCCGCTGCCTTCCACCACCTCGCTTGGTTCTTTTGGAGACACTGTCTCTGGTTGTTGTTTGGAGTCAGTGATATTTCTTTTGTGACGGGTTGGTAGGAGGAGAGCTGACTCCCAAGTTATGCAGGGAGTGAGTGTTTTGCACCAATGCACTTAATAATCTGCTGGGTGATTATGTTCTGAAACTCTGACTCATTCATTGTTTCTCTTCTGATCCTTTGCTCAGGGTTGTGCAAACCTCCCCAGGAGCCTAGAAACTGATTTACATGACTTTTGGATCCTTTAGGAATGTGTCCCAATAAAAAAACCTTGCAGTTAGCCCAGATCCTATGGAATGGTCTCGAATAGTGCAGCCATTTGTTTGCAAAGTCAGGTAGGTTGGTGATCTGTGCTGCCCAGAGCCTGGCAACCTTTGAGGTTTCCACCTCCAACCAGCTGATTATTTAGATTGTCTGAGAGCTGGGGCTCTGGTGACCTTAAAGCGTGATTTGCCCTAAAGGAATATCGGTTTAAGTTCTCCCTGGTGGAGGAACAAACAGCTCAGATTACACGGGTTTCCTTGTTGGTGGGGGTTACTCGTCTCACCCTGTTGCACAGCCCTGGTGATCCTTTCATCTGTGAACCAGTGGCCCCTGCTGAAGGCTAGAGCTGCTTGTTTTGGAAAAGCGTATGCAGGCAAAAGGCCGCAGGCACCGCTCCTCAGCGCTCATTGGCCGCCCTGTTACTACCCGGAAAAGGAGGAGGGGAGGAGCTACCAAACAGCTGATGGAGTGTGTGACAAGAGAGTGTGTTTATATACAAAAGAGGTGGGGGCTGGGGAGGTCCTCTGAGTGGTGTTACAGGAACAAGTGTGTTTTCGAGGGGTAAAAAGAGGAGAGGAAAACCTGACCTGTTAGAGTACAAGAAACGTTTAGAAAAATTAAGGCTAAATCAGAAAAGTAGATCAGATAATAATGGGGACTGGCATATACCATATGTACAATTTTGTAACTTATAATACCAAGAGTTTTCAATGATTCTTTTCAGAGGGAGTACAATAATAAAGTAGGAAACACCCCTTTATTTATTTTTAATTTTGTAGAGACCGAGGTCTGACTAGGTTGCCAGGCTGGCCTCCCAACTTCTGGCCTCAAATCTTACTCCTGCCTTGGCCTTCCAGAGTGCTGGAATTACAGGTGTGAGCCCAGTGCACCTGGCCCAGGGCATGCCACTTTAAATGCACTTAACTGACTCATTTACAGGGATTCCAAAGTATGGCAGAAATGTCAGCTTCCCTTAAAGCATCAAGAGTGATAGAAAGGGACAGCGTCTTACACTAAATCCATTAGCAGCCTGAGTTAATTTTACAGAATTGCTGGTGTCTGCTTTAGGGTTTCAGAGGCTTTCTGTAACAAATTCAAAACCTCAGATGTTGCTGAGTGTGATGGCTCACACCTGTAATCCCAGCATTTTGGGAGGCTGAGGCAGGAGGATCATCTTAAGTGTAGGAGTTTGAGGGTCCAGTGAGCTAAGATCATGACACTGCACTCATGCCTGGACAACAGAGCAAGACTCTCTCAATTAAAAAAAAAAGCTGGCACGGTGGCTCATGCCTGCAATCCCAGCACTTTGGGAGGCCAAGGCAGGTAGATCACCTAAGGTCAGGAGTTCAAGACAAGCCTGGCCAACACGGCGAAAAGCTGTATGTACTTGTACCAAAAATATAAAAAATCAGCTAGGCGTGATGGTGCGGACTTGTAGTCCCAGCTCCTTGGGAGGCTGAGTCACGAGAATCTCTTGAACCCGGGAGGCAGAGGTGGTGGTGAGCCGAAATTGCACCACTGCACTCCAACCTGGACAATAGAACAAGACTCTTATCTCAAAAAAAAAAAAAAAAAGAAAAGAAAAATCCTCATATGTTGGGGTACCTGCTTTGTGCCAGCATGGTGCTGGGAGTTTAGTAGTGAAAAATTCAGCATGGGTGGTCATGGTGCTTATGCAATTAGTTAAAACTTTTTTTAGTTAGAGAGGACAGGCTGTGGTTAGGTCATTGGTGTGTGTAGTGCCTTTTTGAGTAACTTGCATTTACTCTTAGAGTGGACTTTTCAAGGAATAGAAAGATGAAAAAGTGAATTTTGTGTGTTAGGATGTATATGGGGATCTGTACACCTGTTTAAAAAATTACAAAACTAAAATATTAAAATATGTAGCCATTTGTCATTGACTTAACTTTGGTATTTTGCTGTTAATCA